CAGATTCTCTATCAGCCCAGAAATAAAACAATTTCCGAGGCCAACTCTTCAGACAGGGATTGGACTGGACTCTGGGACATAAAGTGATACTCGTGAGGAGTATGTCTCTTAGCTCAAGTAGATACAAGAGACTAAATGGGCAGCTTCTGTCCGGAGGTGAGATGGGAAGGCGGAGGGTTAGGAGCTGGTTGAACAGACATGGGGAATCCGGGGTGGAAAGGAGGAGTGTGCTGTCGCAGTATGGGGAGAGCAATTAGGGTCAGATAACAATGTATGTATAAATTTTTGTATGGGAGAGTAACTTGAAATGTAAACTTTATTTAAACTACAAGAATAAAAAAAAATTAAAAAAAAAGAAGCCACTCACAAAATTACTACATACATATTGTATGATTCCTTTGATATGAAGCTCTATCTAGAACAGGCAAAACTAAACTATGGTGATAGCAATTAGAACACTGGTTGCTCAGCTAGGGGTGAGGAGGATACTAACTAGAAATAGGCACAAGTGAACTCACTAGGGTAAAGGAAATAGTCTATATCTTAACTTGGGTGGTGACCATATGGGTTTTACAATGTCGACATTCACTGAATTCATTTTAAAAATTCATTCAAAATCTGTGCATTTTATTGAATGTAAAGTACACCTTTTAAAATGGAAAAATTCATTGGTTGCATGTAATAGCCATATAAAAGTTGTATAAAACAGAAATAACATTTGAGTAAAAATAAGTTGGTACCTTTGTCCACCTGCAAAGCTTCACCCCAGAGTGGCTCCCAATCAACTGATATCCTAAATGGAAAAACAGGAACATATTAACTGAATTGACTCAAAGCCTTATGCCAAAAGCTAATTTTAGAATTTTAACAAAATCATTTTTCTCCACTTAAATAATGGCAGTCAACCACCCAGTGGCAGAAAACATTAAAGGTTTAATTCACATAATGAGAAAATAATTGAAAATGTATACACTTCTAATAACATAGACTCAAAATACATACAGAAACAAAAGGCTAATGGGAAATCATAGGAGGAGGTTTTAATCTCTCTCAGTATCTAACAGATCTCATAGACCAAAAATCAGTAAAGTTCTAAAAGATCTAACAACACAACAAACACACCTGATCAAGTACAGCTACAGAGCACTACACTCAACAACTACAGAACTCACCTTCTTTTCAAACTCATGGAAATTTTATAAAAGGGGACCATATGACGGGCTATAAAGCAAAAGCAACTAGCAATATATTTCAAATGAAGGACTTAGAAACTAGCCTCTGGAATCTTTGAAAAAAGATGAAGAATCAGATGGGTGCCAGAAGATTAAGACAAAGAAACATTGCCAGAAAAGGAAGGAAACTGGATTCTAGGACCTATGACCAGCACAACTCCACAACCTTGTTGTTGTGTGCTGTCAAGTCGATTCCGATTCATAGCGACCTCATGTGACAGAACAGAACTGTCCCATAGGGTTTTCCAGGCTATAGTCTTTACTGGAGCAGATCACCAGGTCTTTCTACTGCAGAGCCGCTAGGTGAGTTCGAACCGCCAACCTTTTGGTTAGCAGCCGAGCACTTAACTGCTGTGCCACCAGGGCTCCTTTCACTTCATAATTTGGAGCCACATAAGATATAAGAAGCATAGAAAAAGCCAGGCCAGAGCATACAAATAGAACATTCTGATTTCAGGAAGCATTTTAAAAAGTTTCTCATGAGGTTTCAAGTAATAAGCCATAATTATCATGAGTCTCTGGCACAAAAAAAGACTCTTGACTTACGGACAAATTAAGCAAACGGAGAAACAGCCTGATGGTGGCATAAGTGGATCAGGGGCTGCTGAAACATCCACAGTAACAGTGTGTGATGATTAATAGAACAATGTAAATTTGGATTACAATTCTCTAGTGGCAACATTACAGGGTTTTGTCTTTTATCCTCTTCCACATTTACGTAAACATCTTGCATATAAACGTTCACAAAGCACAGCTTAACTATTTGAAGATGGAGCTGAGGCCAACTGAATAGCTACTCTCAGCTATAGATAAACATTGAAAAGATCCCCAGATAACAACAAAAGCACAAGCAGCCGAAGGTAAAACAGATGAATGGGACCTCATAAAAATTAAATAGTTTTGTTCATCAAAGCACTTTATAAAAAAAGGTGAAAAGACAACTTATAAGATTGGGAAAAAATTTTCGGGAACCATATATCTAATAAGGGTCTAATATCCAAAATATATTTTAAAAGTTCTACAACTTAACAACAAAAAGACAAACAAACCAATCAAAAACTGAGTAAAGGACTTGAAAAGACAGTTCACCAAACAGAGCATTTAAATGGCCAACAAGCATATGAAAAGATGCTCAACGTCATTAGCCATTAAAAAACCAAAACCCGCTGCCGTCGAATTGATTCAGACTCATAGCGACCCTATAGGACTGAGTAGAACTGCCCCGTGGTGTTTCCTACATTATGATCTTTACAGGAGCAACTGCCAGGTCTTTTCTCCCCCAGTGCGGTTGGTGGGTGCAAACTACCAACTTTTTGGCTACCAGCCAAGTGCTTAAGAACCATTGTGCCACCAGGGGTCCTTACTTGAAGCAATAATGGCCAAAATTTGTCCAAATTTCATAAAAACTATAAATCCACATATACAAGAAGCTCAATGAACCCCAAGTAAAAGAAACATGAAGAAAACTACATCAAGACCATTATAATTAAACCTCTCAAAATCAGTAATAAAGAAAAATAATCTTAAAAGTAACCAGAGGGGGTAAAAATTACATTCAAAGGAACAAACATAAGGATGACTACAGAGTTCTTATCAGAAGCAATGCAAGTAGGAGAACAGTGGAGCAACAGCTTTAATTCTCAAATGAAAAACGGTCGTCAACTTAGATTTCTATACCTAGCAAAAATATCTTTCAAAAATGAAGGCAAAGATGGATTCCAGACTTTCTGGAGTCATGGAGGCTGGATGAACCCCTGAAACTATTGCCCTGAGATAATATCCAAACCTTAAACCGAAAATATCCTCTTAAGTCGTCTTAAAACCAAACAGTAGTCTAGCTTAACTAGTAAAAATGTCTCCCTTGAGAATTATGCTCTTTTAAGATCTGTCTGTGTGCAATCGAATTGACAATAGCCAACTTAAAAGATCAGATAGGAACCTTAGGGTGCAGTGACTTTATGTTAATGAGGGAGGAACAATTCAGAAAAGGAGGGTGAGAATGGCTGCACAAGTCAAAGAATGTAATAAATGTCACTGAATTGTGTATGTAGAAACTGTTGAATTGGTTTATGTTTTCCTTTGTATATTCTCAATGATAACACCAAAAACTAAAAACTTTTGTTAATGAAGGCAAAATAAAGCCTTTTTTGGATATAAAAAGCTGAAATTCATTACAATATAAGAAATGTTGAAAGAAGTCCTACATGCAGAAGGAAAAGGATACCAGACAGAATATGGATCTACACAAAGAAATGAAGAGCAGAAAAAAGAGTAACTACATGGGTAAATGTAAGATTTTTCTCTAATTATTTAAATCTTTAATATATAATTGACTGTTTGAATAAAAAAAAATGTAGTGCAGGATTTATAACCTACATAAAAGTAAAATGTATGACAACAATTGTATATAAAGGTTGAGAGGAGAAAAACGGAAGTATATTATTTTAAGGTTTTTCTACTATACATGAAGTGGTATAATACCCTGAAAGATATACTCTGATGTAATAAAGAAGTATCCATAAAACCTTGTTATTGTTATTGTTAGGTGCCGTCGGGTCAGTTATGACTCATAGCAACCCCAGGTACTACAGAACGAAACACTGCCGGGTCCTGTGCCATCCTCACAGTCCTTGTTATGCTTCAGCGCATTGTTGCAGCCACTGTGTCAATCCATCTCGCTGAGGGGCTTCCTCTTTTTCGCTGACCCTGTACTTTTATCAAGCATGATATCCTTCTCCAGGGACTGATCCCTCCTAATAACATGCCCAGAGAATGTAAGACATAGTCTCGTGCTCCTTGCTTCTAAGGAGTATTCTGGTTGTACTTCTCCCAAGACAGATTTGTTCCTTCTTTTGGCAATCCATCATATATTCAATATTCTTTGCCAACACCACAATTCAAAGGCATCTACTCTTCTTTGGTCTTCCTTATTCACTGTCCAGCTTTTGCATGTGTACGATGACGCTGAAAATACCGTGGCTTGCGTCAGGTGCACATTAGTCTTCAAGGTGACATCTTTGCTTTTCAGTACCTTAAAGAGGTCTTTTGCAGCAGATTTGCTCAGCGCAATGCATCCTTTGATTTCCTGACTGCTGCTTCCATGGGTGTTGATTGTGGATCCAAGTAATATGAAATCCTTGACAACTTCAATCTTTTCTCCGTTTATCATGATGTTTGCTTGTTTGTCCAGTTGTGAGGATTTTCGTTTTCTTTATTTTAAGGTGTAATCCAAACTGAAGGCCTTGGTCTTTGGTCTTCATCAGTAAGTGCTTCAAGTCCTCTCCACTTTCAGCAAACAAGGTTGTGTCATCTGCATATCGCAGGTTCTTAATGAGTCTTCCTCCATTCCTGATGTTTCGTTCTTCATATAGTCCAGCTTCTCGGATTATTTGCTCAGCATACAGACTGAATAGTTATAGTGAAAGGATAAAAGCCCGAAGCACACCTTTCCTGACTTTAAACCATGCAGTATTCCCTTGTTCTGTTTGAACAACTGTCTCTTGGTCTATGTACAGGTTCCTCAGGAGCACAATTAAGTGTCTGGAATTCCCATTTTTCGCAATGTTATCCATAATTTGTTACGATCGAAACAGTCGAACGCCTTTGCATATAGTCAATAAAACATAGGTAAACATCTTCCTGGTATTCTCTGCTTTCAGCCAGGATCCATCTGACATCAGCAATGATACCCCTCATTCCACTTCCTCTTCTGAATCCAGCCTGAATTTCTGACAGTTCCCTGTTAATATACTGCTGCAGCTGCTTTTGAACTATCTTCAGCAAAATTTTACTTGCATGTTATATTAATGATATAGTTGGATAATTTCTGAATTTGGCTGGACCACCTTTCTTGGGAATAGGCATAAATATGTATCTCCTCCAGTCGGCTGGCCAGGTAGCTATCTTCCAAATTTCTTGGCATAGACGAGTGAGCACTTTCAGCACTGCATCCATTTGTTGAAACATCTCAGCTGATATTCTGTTAATTCCTGGAGCCTTGTTTTTCGCCAATGCCTTCAGTGTAGCTTGGACTTCTTCCTTCAGTATCATCAGTTCCTGATCATATGCTACCTCTTGAAACGGCTGAACGTCAACCAATTCTTTTTGGTATAATGACTCTGTGTATTCCTGCCATCTTCTTTTGATACTTCCCGTGTCATTTAATATTTTCCCCATAGAATCCTTGACTATTGCAACTCGAGGCTTGGATTTTTTTCTTCACTTCTTTCAGCTTGAGAAATGCCAAGCAAGGTCTTCCCTTTTGGTTTTCTATCTCCAGCTCTTTGCACACATCATTATAATACTTTGTCTTAATGAACCACCCTCTGAAATCTTCAGCTCTTTTACTTCATCATTTCTTCCTTTTGCTTTAGCTACTCAACGTTCAAGAGCAAGTTTCAGAGTCTCTTCTGACATCCATTTTGGTCCTTTCTTTCTTTCCTGTCTTTTTAATGACCTCTTGCTTTCTTCATATATGATGTCCCTGATGTCACTCCACAACTCCTCTGGTCTTTGGTCATTAGTGTTCAACACGTCAAACCTATTCTTGAGATATTCTCTAAATTCAGGTGGGATATACTCAAGGTTGTATTTTGGCTCTCAGGGACTTGTTCTAATTTTCTTCAGTTTCAACTTGAACTTGCATATGAGCAACTGATGGTCTGTTCCACAGTCGGCCCCTGGCCTTGTTCTGACTGATGATATTGAGCTTTTCCAATGTCTCTTTCCACAGATGTAGTCGATTTGATTCCTGTGCATTTCATCTGGCGAGGTCCATGTGTACAGTCACCGTTTACATTGGTGAAAAAAGGTATTTGCAATGAAGAAGTCACCGGTCTTGCAAAATTCTATCATGTGATCTCCAGCATCGTTTCTATCACCAAGGGCACATTTTCCAACTACCAATCCTTCCTTTCTTCCAACTTTCGCATTCCAATCACCAGTAACTATCAATGCATCTTGACTGTATGCTCAATCAATTTCAGACTGCAGAAGCTGGTGAAAACCTTCAATTTCTTCATCTTTAGCATTAGTGGTTGGTGCGTAAATTTGAATAATAGTCATATTAATTGGTCTTCCTTGTAGGCATATGGATATTATCCTATCACTGACAGCGTTGTACTTCAGGAAAGATCTTGAAATGTTCTTTCTGACGATGAACGCAACGCCATTCCTCTGCAAGTTGTCATTCCCGGCACAGCAGACCATATGATTGTTCGATTCAAAACGGCCAATACCGGTCCATTTTGGCTCACTAATGTCTAGGATATTGATGTTTATGCGTTCCATTTCATTTTTGACAATTGTTAATTTTCCTAGATTCATACTTCATACATTCCATGTTCCTATTACTAATGGATGTTTGCAGCTATTTCTTCTCATTTTGAGTCATACCACATCAGCAGATGAAAGTCCCGAAAGCTTGACTCCACCCACGTCATTAAGGTCGACTCTACTTTGAGGAGGCAGCTCTTCCCCAGTCGTCTTTTGAGTGCCTTCCAACCCGGGGGTCTCATCTTCCCGCACTATATCAAACAATGTTCCACTACTATTCCTAAGGATTTCATTGGCTAATTCTTTTCAGAAGTAGACTGTCGGGTCCTTCTTCCTCGTCTGTCTTTGTCTGGAAGCTCAGCTGAAACCTGTCCACCATGGGTGACCCTACTGGTATCTGAACACCAGTGGCATAGCTTCCAGCATCACAGCAACACACAAGCCCCAGCAGTACGACAAACTGACAGACATATGGGGGATAAAACCTTGAGCAATCACTAAATAACAAAACAGAGTAATAAGTAATAAGCCAACAAAGAATATAAAATAGAACCATAAAAAAAATTCAATTAATCTAAAAGAAGGCAGAGAAACAGGAAAAACGAAATTAAAGAAAAGATGAGACAAGTAGAAAACAAATATCAAGATGAAAGATTTAAAGCAAGAAAGCCAAACCGGTTGCTGTCAAGTAGATTCCAACTCACGGCACCTCATGTGTGCTGAGGAGAACTGCACTCCACAGGGTTTTCAAAGCTGTAACCTTCCACAAGTAGGTCATCAAACCAATCTACAGGACTAATAGCCCACAGGAACCACATTCTCATCCATCCTGAGACCAGAAGAACTAGATGGTGCCATTACCAACCATTTAGACCAGTGACGCAATAGATGGTCCTCAATAGAAGAAAAAAATGTAGAATAAAACTCAACTTCTTTTTTTTTTAAAAAAAAAAGGCCATTTATTGGACTGGTAAAGACTAGAGGAACCTCTGAAACTGTCACCCTGAGATATCCTTTAAACTTGGAACTAAAACCACTCCCAGAGGTCATCTTTCAGCTCAGTAACAGATTGGATCATAAAATAAACAATATCACCAGTGAGTACTGAGCACTTTAAAAAAATCATCTCTGTGACACCAAATGGTCAACATTTACCCTAAAGCAAAGATTAGAAGTGGGGGGGAGGGGGGGATAAGGAAGCTACATTAATGGAAATGATTGAAGAATGGAAATGAGAATTTTGACACATTATGAAAAATGTAACCAACATCACTGAACAATATATACAGAAACTGTTAAATGGGAATCAAATTTGCTGTGTAAACTTTCAGCAAAAACACAATAAAATACTACTTAAAAAAAAAGGTAGATCACGAAGATTTTCTTCCGAGGCACCTCCAGGTGGGTGCAAACTGCCAACCTTTTGGTTAGTATGGAGTGCATAACCATTTGTGCCTTTGATGGACTCTCATTAATGTAAATGGTCTAAATATTACACTTAAAAGGCAGGAAAAAAATACACATATATACATATATATATATGTATAAATATATAGTTGACGGTTCCTTGAAGGGGACACTGTATTCTGTGTTTCTCTGCATTACCAGGACTGTCACATAAAAGATCCTCAATAAATATTGAAGGAAGGAAGGAAAAAGCAAAGAAGAGAGGAAGGAAGAAGAGAATTCTACTGATTCTCAATTCACCACACTTTTCTTCTACAGGATACCAATATTATTATTTATTCATTTAACTACAACCACTGATCCCTTGCTGGCGAGTCGATTCCAACTCATAGCAACCCTACAGGACACAGTAGAACTGCCCGATAGAATTTCCAAGGAGTGGCTGGTAGATTCGAACTGCTGACCTCTTGGTTAGCACTTAACCACTGCACCACCAGGGCTCCGTTCATTTAACTATAGCCTCCTTAACTAGGTATGACCACAAACATCCAGATACTTCTACACAAAACACTCCTACTTAATTCAGCCTAATATCAGATAAGCTTTTTTCTGCATTTAAAAGTTTTCCCTTAATGAACAGTGATTTGGGTATAAAGAAACCAGTGACAGAAGGCACTTTCCATTTGCATACTTGAGCTGCACTATTGGTAACATCCCAATAAACTAAGAAAAGAAGAAATTTCCTGGTCCAGGCAGCAAACACTCAAGTGAGTCACAGACAGACTCTTCAGGCAGTGACATCTGCCGTTGTACCACAGGCACTGAACCAACTAGATACAGGCTGCTGCTGTTGTGTGGCGTCGACTCAATTCCGACTCGTAGCGACACTGTAGGACAGAGTAGAACTGCCCCATAGGGTTTCCAAGGCAGTCATCTTTATGGAAGCAGACTGCAACATCTTTCTCCCACAGAGCAGTTAGTGGCTTAGAACTGCGACCTTCTGGTTAGCAGCCAAACACTTACCTGTTGCACCACCAACCAGGACTCCTTAGATACAAACCACATTATCTTTTTTCCTCTTACTGTCATTGTTGTTAGGTGCCTCGAGTCTGCTCCGACTCAAAGCAACCTTATGTGTAACAGACCGAAGCGTCATCCTCACAATCCTCAGCTTAGGCTTTCTCTCACAGGTACTAAATCTGAATGCTTAGAGTATAGTGATCTACCAACAATTCCTGAGGATCTTCACCTTGTTTAGTAAGGGCTTCTCGGAGAGCAGGCGTTATCATAGCTCTTCTCTCATTGTCTTCATTCTTCCCTGTGTTCCTGAACAAGCTACTTTTCTCTTCCTGTTGCTCCTTTTCTTTCTGTATTGAAATAAATGAAATCCAGCATTGGCAATGTACAATGAAAATAACATAACACCAATCATGAGCACCATGGCTCACAACCAAGTCCTCTCTAAAATGATCAAATTTCCAGTCAGACAATGACCTAAGGACATGCCAGAGTCACCTTTAAAAAAATACATAACTTCATACTCAAACACACTTACTATAGATCATAAAGCAACAGTCCCCTTATCTAAGTGGTAAACATTTTTAGCAATCCGAGCACAGATAACTGCCTAACCTTGGCAAGTGATTTATTTTGTCTGAATTTCCACTTCCTCACCTGAAAAAGGGGAAAAACAGACTATCTACAGAACAGGAATGTCGTGAAGATTTAATGGAATAAAATCACCTGGCACAATGCCTCATAGATAACAGATGCTCAATAAATGATGGCAACGGCTGGGTTACCACACCTGCAAACCTTGAAAACAAGTGGCATAAGACCACAGAGTGCCTAGAGAGCCATCTGCTCAGAGACCAAGTTACCTCCTCACCTGCCACACAATGGTCCCTTTTAGAAGAGCCCAGGGAGGAAATTCCTCTCCAGTGGTAGAAAAAGATGTACTTAATAAATCTCAGGGATACTTTAGAACCGACTATGTTTCCTTTTGACCTTGGCCACTAGAACACTCAGCGGCACAACTCCAATCACCACGCAAGACCCTGCATCATGCCTGTTTGTATATATTCTGTAACTGGCTTCGTATGAAAACATGACCCTCATTCACCCTTTGATGGATTTCTTCATCATTTTTTTAAATCTTTTTTCCAGTGGCCATCGAGTCAACTTCAACTCAAGGCAATCTCGTGTATAGAGTAGAACTGCACTCCACAGGGTTTTCAACAGCTGTTTTTTTGGAAGTAGGTAGCGAGGCCTTTCTTCCGAGGCACCTTGGGGTGGGTTTTAACCTCCAACCTTTCAGTAAGTAATTGAGCACTTAACCATTTGCGCCACCCAGGAACTCCTTTTTCAATCTTATTATATGTATGTATATTTTTTAAGTTATCTCAAAATCCTTTAGGAAGATGGCAGAGTGTCAATTAACAATTTCAGAGACAGCAAAAATCTACATCACACTTTAGAGAAGACACTCATCAGACCTAACTAAGAGCTACAGAAATTTAAAATAATTCACTTGGCAGCAGCTTACACCAAGCCCCGAGACTACCCTCAGTGCTCATCCGTTTTAAATGTCCAGCCGTGCAGCCCCCAATGAATCAGTGAGTAGATTCACAATAATAACCTTCCTACCAAAAATGAAAATACTTCACAAATGGTATGATGTCTGAGATCTGCTTCAAACTCATACCACCAGTAAGCCAACTGCAGCTGAGTGAACTCCAACTCATGCGACCCCGTGTGTGTCTGAGTAGAACCGTGCTCCGTAGGGTTTTCAATGGCCATTTTGTCAGAAGTAGATTGCCAGGCCTTTCTTCCAAGGTGCCTCTGGGTGCACTCCCATCTACAACCTTTCGGTTAGCAGCTGAGCACATTAACCATTTGCACCACCCAGGGACTCCTAAACTTCTACAGAAGGGGATATATGAAAGGTAGACAGGAGAGGATGGTCCACTGACTGATGGCTGATAGAGCTGGGTAACAGTTAACAGAGATTCACTGTATTGTTTTGTCTCCACATAAAAAATGTAAAACAATATTTAAACTTTTTTTTAAAAAAAAGGAAAGGTAAATCATCAGTCAGAAGGCGGCCAGGGGATGACTGCGAAAACAGACCATCAACTGCTCATATGCAAGTTCAAGTTGAAGCTGAAGAAAATTAAAACAAGTCCACAAGAGCCAAAATACGACCTTGAATATATCTCACCTGAATTCAGAGATCATCTCAAGAACAGATTTGACACACTGAACACTAATGACTGATGACCAGACAAGTTGTGGGATGACATCAAGGACATCATATATGAAAAAGCAAAAGGTCATTAAAAAGACAGGAAAGAAAAAAAAGACCAAAATGGATGTCAGAGAGACCCTGAAACTTGCTCTTGAACACAGAGCAGCTACAGCAAATGGAAGAAATGATGAAGTAAAAGAGCTGAACAGAAGATTTCAAAGGGCGGCCCAAGAAAATAAAGTATTATAATGAAATGTGCAACGACCTGGAGTTATGAAAAGGGAAGAACACACTCGACATTTCTCAAGTTCAAAGAACTGACGAAAAAATTCAAGTCTTGAGTAGCAATACTGAAGTATTCTACGGGCAAAATATTTAAAGATGCACGAAGCATCAAAAGAAGATGGAAGAAGACCATTTTGCTCTGGGTATTGAGCTTTTTTTTTTTTTTGAAGAATTCAGTGTTTTAGGAAACTAACTTCAAAGATCAGACAGATTTATGTTCAGGGTAAATTAGTAGTTAGTTTAAGCAGTCTTTAAGACAATGTCATATGAAATATCTGTCTAATGTTTGTAATCAAACTGTCACCCTCTTACAACTGAGAAAATTATGTATCTTAAAGAAACCAGATTCTCAGAGGAGATTGACCTCACGACTCAGACTCCGTTTTGTCTTTGGTTCCATTTCTGCTTCTGAGAAAGTGACTCAGGACTGTTAATAGGTAAACCAAGGTGGGGCAGCTTGCCCTTGGGAAGAACACTTAGTATGTTTTAAACAGACTAACTGAAGACCTCCTACAGGAAATGTCCATCCTGTATTATCTTGCTAATCATTAGTTCCCTAATAAAAAATTGTCACATGTAAATTTTTCTATATTTTTTGTTTCCTCTAGACAAACTTTGAGTGCTCTTTATAGATATATATTTCTGTGCGATAGATCCAACTATACTAATTTAGATGATCCTTTCCAACTGATAGTGAATTTATGAGGGCAATCGCTTGTTTAGATTGCTGATGAATGTGTGGACAATGCACTCTGAGAACTTTAGGATTATCTTTAAGTATTCATAGTAACAATGCTAGTAAATATTGAAAAGGTAATGTTAAAATTGTAAAATGAAAGTCAGAAGAAAACCCACTGGTCCAAAATTCAGGGTATGGTTGGTAGCTTTAATTCCTACTTATGGTATATCTGAGTTGGAGAAATTTGTCAGTCACTATGGGACAAATAATAGATGAGATAGAAGCACAACAGTGATCTCTGATCTCATAAGCCAAGGTGACATGAGATAACAAAATAACCTTAGATTTTTTTATTAGTCCGAGAAACTGTAGTCTGCGCTGTAGACAAGATATACATAGAATTAGACAGCAAGCTACTTGATTACACATTGTCACACCCTTAAAAACACCAGATCTATTTGGTTGGTTACCATCAGGAATAAGTACATGGGCTAGATCACTACTGCAAGGAATAGTAATATTCTTAGCCTACATCCTGATAGTATTAGGTATTATAAAATTTATCCTCTATTGTCTTACACATGTAAAAGGCAAAAGAAGGTCTCAGGCTAAAATGTTGATGTACATTGAGTCTGCTCACTCTGGCAATGCTATTGATGGGAACATCGCTCTTACTTAATAACCTGGTGAAGAACCAGATCGTATCCCGTGGAAAACCAGCACCGTGAGTTTAAAGAGCCTGCAATGGCCTCCATCTAGGAGCTCGACTAAGTCCAGGTATTGATCATCAATGTGTTATCCCCAATCTCCGATCAAAAGGAGGGACTGATTTAGGAAATAATATTGGAGTTATTATTCCCTCTCCTTGAGCATACAGAATGTGACCCAGCTGAAGCTGGGCTCACAAGGGCTCACAAGGATTCTCAAGGACACATCAACTGGACCCTGAGGTATAAAGACAATAGCTAAGATAATCTTGGAAAATATCTTTTAGGGAAACTTTCACATAAAGCCGATCAAACAGAACACAAAAGACTTTCCACTCTTATCTTTTCTATTAGCATTTAGTGAATAGGAATTTGTTGGACCAATGAAGACCCTCCTGACTTTTGTTACTGAAACCTGTACCAATGATTGTTAAGAAAGATGATTCAAAATGTAAGATTATAATTTCTAGCCAATCAGTGAAAAAGTGATGCTTTCAATGATTCTACCCATTTTGTGATGTTGATATATACTGATGGCTCTGTAACTGTTCTTTGGACTCGGGCAGACATGGCTGTGGCAGCATGCTTGTCCGCTTCCCACTTTTGTCCTTTTGAATATATGCCAAATAAAACTTTCTTTTTACTTTAAAAAAAAAAAAGAAGAAGATGGAAGAAATACACAGTCACAAAGGCACTGGTGAAAAACAAGACTCCAGGAATTGATGGAATACTAATTGAGATGTTTCAACAAATGGATGCGGCACTGGAGGTGCTCACTTATCTATGCCAAGAAATTTGGAAGACAGCTACCTGGCCAACCAACTGGAAGAGATCCATATTTGCTCCCATTCCAAAGAAAGGTGATCCAACAGATTGTGGAAATTATCAAACAACATCATTAACATCACACAGAAGCAAAATTTTGCTGAAGATAATTCAACAACAGTTGCAGCAGTACATCGACAGGGAACTGCCAGAAATTCAAGCCAGATTCAGAAGAGGACGTGGAACAAGGGATATCATTGCTGATGTGAGATGGACCTTGGCTGAAAGCAGAGAATACCAGAAAGACGTTTACGTGTGTTTTACTGACTAAGCAAAGGCATTTGACTGTGCGGATCATAACAAATTATGGATAACGTTGCAAAGAATGGGAATTCCAGAACACTTAATTGTGCTCATGAGAACCTGTACACAGACCAAGTGGCAGTCATTTGAACAGAACAAGGGGATACTACGTGGCTTAAAATCAGCAAAGGTGTACATCAGGGTTGTATCCTTTAACCATACTTATTCAATCTGTATGCTGAGCAAACAATCCAAGAAGCTGGACTATATGAAGAAGAATGGGGCGTCAGGATTGGAAGACTCATTAACAACCTGCGATATTCAGATGACACAACCTTGCTTGCTGAAAGTGAAGAGGACTTGAAGCACTTTCTGATGAAG